GAAGCTAAGAGCTTAACTAAATCTGCTCAGCAATTCCACACCCCTAGGGTGTGAAGGCCACACTTTAGAGTGACTCATGAGGAAGGACGAAGGGTCCCATTCTTCCTCCTAGGAGCTCCAGTCTTCACCATCAGCTTGGATGTCATCTCCTGGCTCTAGCACAGACTCTTGGCTTCTACTTTGGATCTTTCAGCCTTCTGGTGTGGGCTCATCAGCATTCTCTCGCAGACCCATTGGCATCCTGATACAGACTTGCACGGACCACTGCTGTGGGCTCCAGACCTTGAACTCAATCCTCCAGTCTCTTGTGTGCATACGCCCTCTGCACGCTTCCTCATCTGACTCTGTGGCTGATTGTCATGAGCCAATTTTGTAATTTCTTATATATTTGTACATTTTGTGTTATGTCTGTGCCTCTAGTAAAACCCTGACAGATACTGTGGTCATGATATAAAGGAATGAAACTCCCAACCTGGAAGATACCTGGGATGAGTTCATGTTCTCTAAAACTGAAGAATGAATTTTAGGAACAGTGGAGGTTAGGAGCAGAATATCTATTGGAGGAAAGAAAGCTTCTGTCCAAGAGAGGGACAGAAGGTGGACCCAAGTGGGTTACGCTGGAAAGCTGTCTCTTCCAGGGATTTTTATAGAGTAAAACCACGTGGAAAGGCAGGTCTAAAGTGGAAAATTTGGGAACTCGCTTCGGTGGGCATGAGGTGGGACAAAATTATGGTCAACTAATGAGATTACAAGAACCATTGCTCAGGTAAAATTAATTAAATCCAGGACCAAATGGGGAAGCGAGTCACATAGCAAGGGGGCAAATATGGAACAGTTCAGCCAGGAGCCTGTACTGGTTGGATTAGAGCCTCTTCCTGGCTTCCTCAAGGTGATTATCAATCTCGGATGTTTATCTTTAGAGAGGTATGCACGTGTTTGATCTTTGGTCTTGAGGTCCGGCCCACAGTGGGAGTGTCCGTGTCTCACAGTTATAAGGTATCTTGTCTTCTGTGCTGTCTCCTCAAGGGCCTGGCCCTGTCTGACTGCCTACAATATTTCTATCTAACTCAGCTGCCTACAATAGTCAGAGCACCTGGCTCAAGAGAGGCCTTGTGGCAACTGCCTCATGAATTGAACCTACCCTAAGAAGGCTTATTTTCTGGCCACCATGCTGTCTAGTCAGAGACATGGACTCTGGCCTTTTCTCCATGTGGAGAGAGTTAGGAGTGCTAGGCTGTGGCTTCCAAGATCCCTGTCCCCACTCCGACTTCCATCCTGCACTCCAGCCTTCCATCAGTGATGAAGAACTGGCCAGTGAGGCCTGGGGGCGCGCCTCCGGGGCCTAGGGAAGCGAAGCGCCTGGCAAGGGAAGCAGCTGAGCAGGATCTGTCTCTGCACTAAGGACGACCACTTGTCCCTGAGTGTCAGGCCCATGACCCTTCTGTGGGTGCACAGCCCTGTGTGAGAGTGACCAGAGCCCATGCCCAGACTCACCTTGCTCCTCAGACCCTCCATTCCTCCACCAAACAAGGAAGACAGGAGTTACTTGCTGATGGGCAGAAGAGCCCAGGTGTGGAGAGGAAAGGGCAGAGGGGTCAGAGAGAACGGGGTTTAGATCTCCACTGCTCTCCTCCAAGCTATGCGGCCTTAGGCAAGGCACTGAGTTTCTTTGAGCCTCCATCTTCTTGTTTATGAAGTGGATATGTGGAGCCTGCCTTTTGGCTGACATTGGGTGCAGAGAGCCACTGCATGCTAAGGGTGGTGGGTGGCACTTGCCCAAAGCCTCAGGAACCTGGGAAGAGCTTTCTCCAAGTCTCTGCCCAGACTCCAGTTCTCCGGCACCTTCCAAACTACTCAGACCTTAGCTTGTCCCACTGGGGACCAGGCCCAGGAAGAGCATGCCCAGGCTCACCTCGGGGGTCCTGCCCTCCTGCCCTGCCAGGGCCCTTGCTTCCCTCCCTCATCCCTTACTCCCTCTCCAGCTAGCCCCAGTCCCAGAGCACAACCTAGCCAGAAGATTCTGGAACACATAGAATGCAGGGCACCACCAGTGAGAGGGGCCCTGAGCCTGGCAGCCCACACCTGCAGGGCCATGGCTGGGAAGAAGTGTCCCTGTACCTCCTGTTTCCCAGCCCCAGCCTGAACCTGCTGCTGGTTCCCGCATTACCACATGAATGGACACAAGCCCATCCACTCAAGCCAACCATTTGGCCAGCAAATTGACATAATTACTGAGAGTGCAGAGAAAGAAGAAAGCGCCCCCAACCCCAGAGCCCCCCAGCAGGCAGCTCCTGCAGAGCCCTTCCCAGGCTTTGTGGGCCTGTGCTCAGGGCTGATTAAAATCTTGGGCCCTTTCAAGAGCCCTAAGTGATTGGTCCCCTTAATCTGATTACGACGACGTGCAGAGCCCCTCCAGCCACCTCTGAAGGACAGCCTCAAGCACCCTGCTTGCTGAAGTACACACACACACACACACACACACACACGCACGCACACGCACACGCACACGCACACACATGCAGGCGTGCATGCATACCACAAAACCTGCTTGGGTCTGCCCCCTGGGAGCAAGGAGAGGGTGTCTGCCACCTCTCCTTTAGTTGGGGACCTTATTCAGCCATTTGGTCATCTGGTAGCTTCTCAGAGCCCCACCCCCAGATGCATGCAGCAGCTGCCCCTACCCAGACTCGGGCATCTTTCGCAGACTCTGCCAAGGTCAGGGACATCTGTCCCTGGGCACACTTTTGTGGACATAACTCTCCATCACTCAGCCTTCTCAGGTGGCTGCCCAGGTGCCCAGACCAGCCTGCCTGACCCCCATCAAGAGAGACCTTCTTTCCACAGCAGCTGTGCTTCTGGGGCTCCTGGGGGATTAGGCCTGGGCTCCTCCGCCCCCTTGGGAACTGGCTCAGCCCTCTACATCTGATTTGGACCTCTTAATCCCCACTGCCCAGCTACAATGGCTCCTTCCCCCATCCTTGCTGCTGGCTCTCAACAGCCCAGCGTGGCCCCCACCCCAAGTGGCGCTTCCCCTGGGCTGCAGCTCAGGGTGGGGGAGCAGATGGGGGGGCGGGGGTGGACAGAGAGGAGGTTCTGTCCTTGTAGCTCAGCCTCCCCTCCTAGAGCATGTGTAAGGGAGTGTGGAGCTTGTGTGGTGCCCTCCAGAGTGATCTCAAGCCTGCTATGCCCCACACCTGGGGAGTACCCCAGTCTGGGGGTCATGGAAAGGAAAATCCCACCCTCCTCCTAGGCCACCCTAGTGACCTCCCTCTTTAGCCTGAGGATGGGGCCCTGGGGTCAGAGAGCTGGAAGCAGAGAGCCAGGTACAGTGGCCTGGGCCCAGTTCTCACCCTTGTACCACTTTCCATGGCAGCAGTGACCTTGGATAGGTCCTAGCTTCTCTGGGCCTCAGTTTCCCCACCTATCAGCCCAAGATGCTTTTTTCTGTCTCTCAGAGTGGTTGAAAGGTTCAATAACAGAGGTCAAGGGAGGCCCCAACACACAACCAGGGCTCAGGGTCCAGCTGTCACCAATCCTGCATCAGGAATTTTTATTTTTTTTCCCCGGAACCAGGGATTGAACTCAGGTCCTTGCGCTTGCCAGGGAAGCGCTTATTCCACTGAGCCATCTCCCCAGCCCCAATCCTGCAGCAGGGACAGAAGACTGGTGTAGTCAAGAGTCACAGATGGGTCAGGCTCTGGGACCAGCGTTCACCCCCATAGCCCTGGTAGGGAGAGACCCACTCAATGTGCGGGTTCCCAGTGAGAGGGTCCAGGACGAAACCCCTGCCACCAACGGTGAAGCCTCCTGCCTGCCATGACTGGCACTGGGGGCTGCAGCCCTCTCCCCAGGACCCTGATCCTCGGTGCCTTCCAGAGCATCCCCTGCTGCACCCAGAGCCTGTCCTTGGGGTCCTCCCTCCCTCCTGGGCCCAGGAGGTGCCAGAGCAGCGCCCGCCCGCATCAGCTGGCATCAAAGCGCTGCGCTCTCCGTGCCACGCCGCCCCCTGCTGTGCGGCGCACACCTCCTCCTTTGTCACAATGTTTTCACTCCCGTGAAGCAAACTGTCCAATTAGAGTTGGGGCCTTGGGCTTCCATCTTCCCGACGTTTAATTATTATGCTCCCCTTGGCAGCTGCTGACAAGTCCCAGAAGCAGGGTGGAAAGGGGTTTTGTCTTCCCCCAGCATGGAAAACGAGGGGTGGGACAGTGCGGGACATGAATAGGTTGCATTTCAGCCCCTCCTCCTGCCTCCCCTCCACCAACAAGCCTGCAATGTGTGTGTGTGTGAACTGCAAGGGGGCGGGAAGGGCGGAGATGCGGGAGGGAAAGGCGAGACCTCCCCTCCCTCCCTCATCCCTGCTTCCCAGGAGCCTTTGCTTCAAAGATCTGGACTCTGCTGTTCTTGCTCCATCTGCACGTGTCAGAGTTCAAAGTAGACACTGTGTATTGGGTCAGTCCCCCTCTAGATGTGGGCTCCTGAGGGCAGGAACTGGGTGTTCCTCTGCCTGGGTTGCTGGTGCGCCCAAGAATTCCAGACTTCCCCAAAGCCACCCCTGCTCTGCAGCCACTGCAGAGCTGGCTTGGTGGAGAGGAAGTAGCAAAAGGAGGCCTCTCTCTCCAGCCTACCCCCAAGAGTGCCTCAGCAGCCCCCCTGTGCTGGATGGGTGGTGGATGGCAGCTGGCTCAAGGGCTTTTTTTGGAGGAGCTGCTGTGCCAAAGGAAGGGCCTTGAGGGAAGACCTCACCTTGGACCTGAACCCTGTCCAGACCCCTACAGGGTGGGACAGATCCCCAGTGTGGTGCCCCTAGGGCAAGGGCCAGGGCTGAGGCAGGAGCCTGGGCCTCTTGGGTCCATTTCTCCCCCAAACTGGCCATGTGGAGTCATTCACAAGCATTCTAGGGCTGGAGAATGTGGCTCAGTGGTACAGCTTTTGCCTTGCATGCGGAAAGCCCAAGTTCAATCTCTAGCACCACAAAAGGAAGAAAAAGAAAGACATAATACAAGCATTCTACAAAGAACACAAATGTTTATTTATGGAGGCCACCTGCTTGGTAGCACAGAGAAGATGGGGGAACTGGGGCTTGGGAGGAGCTAGATGGGGAAGTCAGGGGGCAGCGACGCCCAGCAAGCAGTGGCTAAGGGCTGAGGTGCCTCCTGGAAGTGTCAGGCCCAGGTTCCCTAGCCTGCAAGGCACAGATGTGGCTTCCAAGACCCTAGATGCATGCAGGACTTCTGTGGCCAGACCCCCACTCCTCCCATCTTCAGATTCTCAGGCTGCCCCTTGGGGCGAAGGGGGAACAGGGTGGGCAGAGGCACCCGGGGCTGGGCCAGCAGGCTGGAGCTGCTGGTTCACTCCTGAGTTCCTAGATCCTCCTAGAGCTCAGACAGTGTGTGGAGCCTGCAGGGAGAGAGCCAAGAGCAGGGGTCACTGCTGGGTCCTGTGCGGCCTCTTGGGTGCCTTCTTTTTTATGAACCGGGCAGACTCTAAAAACAGTAGGTTACAGCCTCCATTTTCTCACTCCAGATTTAGAGGTTTTGTTTGTTGCTTTTGCGTCTAAGGCAGGGTCAGGATATGTTGCCCAGGCTGGTCTTAAACTCCTGAGCTCAGGTAACCTTCCTGCCTCAGCCTCCCTAGTGATGGAACTATAAGTGTGTGTCCCAGTCCCAGGCTGCAAGCTTGTGCTGTCCCTAAAGCCCAAGCATGCTCTCCCGCCATGTACTTAGCTGCTGGCCCCAACCCATCTGTCTCCCAGCTCTGTCCTCCAAGGAGCAAAGACAGTCAGTAAGTCAAATGTGCCCAGGACTCCCTTGGCACAATCTCCCCGTCTCGCCGGCCGGCCTGCCCTCTCCATCCCACGAAGGGGCAAGAAAGCACATCCTCGTTTCTTCCTGCTGTCTTTCTGCCCACTTGCACCTGATTCTGAGGACAGAGGCCCCACCGGGAGCACTGGGTATTGTCCTGAGGAAGAAGCCAGGCCCAGGCTGACCTCACTTGCCTGAGAGCTTAGGATACCAAGACCGGTGAGAAGGCAGGTGAGCCTGAGGACACCATCACAGCCGGGGGCTTGAGGGTGGGGTCCTCCGGGGCGTGACCAGCACTGCTCTCTTCAGGCACCTGTGGAAAAAGAGGGCAATTCTGAGGGCCCGGTCCTGGGCTGTATTCCAGGCCCCCTAGTGTCCATGGTGGAGCTAGAGCACCTGGCCAAGCCAGGAGCTGCAAATGATGAGTGGCGAGCGCCACATGGTGGCCGGCACGCAGATCGCGGCACAGACGTGCTACTTGGTCTCCCGCTCCTGCTTCTCTGTGGGCAGTGTCCCAGGCGCTGGCACAGTGAGGACCACTTAGCATCCTTGCCCAGCTACGACAGTGGTGAGATATTCCAGTGAGCCAAAGAATTGTGATTTTACACACCTTATGAGCAAGTGTGGAGGATTCTGGGAGATTGTGCTGAGCCCGTTTTTGAAAGATAAGAAGTAGGGCAAGTGAGAGGCATTTGCCAGGATCCTGACAGCGCAGATAGGTCCTAACATAGGGTGGGAGCGGGGCTGAGGTGGGCTTGCAGGGGCACCTGGAACTGGACTGGGATGTGACGTGGAGTGTGACAGATCCTCCCTGTTGTGGCTTTCTCACAAACCACCTCTTTCTGGCCCTAGTGAGCCCCTGTCTCACCCCATCCTCAGGGAAGCCACCTCAGCTTTCAGGGAGGACAGCTCAGGGGCTTTCCAATGGCTTTCACTCCTAGTGGTGAGGAACTTCTTTACTTCCTGAGGCAGAGTACTGGCGAAGGTAGCTGAGAGAAGGTGTGAACTTGGAATAAATGACTGAGATCAAAACAGAACCCAGAGGAAACCTCTATGTACAGACACTGGTAATATCTCCAGCATTATTTCATGAGCATAAAACCCTTGTGGTTTCTAATTATGGTGTCTCCAACAGCTTACTGTCTGACTTTAAAGACAGAATGAAAATAATTTGTGCTGAGAAAAAAGCAAGTTTATTAAGAATGTAATAACATAGAACAATTTTTATACTAGAGAGGTAAAGAAAGAGAAGACAATACAAATTGGGCAGACAATACAATCTTCACTGTCGGGGCTGGGGAGATGGCTCAGTGGTATAAGCGCTTTCTTGGCAAGTGCAAGGGCCTGAGTTCAATCCCCGGTTCCACAATAAATAAATAAATAAATAAATAAATAAAATCTCCACTGGGTAAGAAAAATCTGTGCAGAGAAAAACAAAGAACAACAGGAAATATAGCAGAAGAAAAGATGAACAGTGCTTACAGGATGGTGGTGGGTTTTTCCGGTGCTTGGGATTAAACCCGGGATCTTGAACCTTGTACTCTACCATTGAGCCCCCAGGGCCTAGTGATGAGATTTCTTGATATTTTTCTCTATATCCAGATTTTCATGAATAAGCTACTTGTCATTTTTAATTTAAAACACACATTTAGGGAATGTAGCTTAGTAGTAGGGTGCTGGCCTAGCATTCCTGAGGCCCAGGGTTCTATTCAAGCACTGCAAAAACAAAACAAAAACAGCAGAGAGAAAAGAAAAAAAAAAAGAAAGGAAAAGGAAATTTGATGTTCATTTAAGACAGCATATACACAAAGTTATATGAATTAGAAAAGCTACGTGTAAGTTAGATATGAATTATAATGAATATTAGTTTGAAGGATGTTCAAAACTTCTGATAAGGTTTTAGCAATCCAGAGGCAGAGCCAGGTGTGGTGATACACACATATGTAACCCCAGCACCCAGGGGGCTGAGGCAGAAGGATTGCCATGAGTTCAAGGCCAGCCTGGATTGCACAGGGAGACCTTGTCTCAAAAAAAAAAAAAAAAGCCAAGAGGCAAATGTAGTAATGTTCCTCATACAGGGGGCCACAGACACAGGCTGGTCCTCCTTCCCATTTTGAGGGGCCAGGGAGGAGGCAGGGGTGTCACCATGCCCTGCCCCCTACACCATTATCCAGCCCAGGCAGGGCCCTGTCGCAGTGGTTCCTGGGAAGAGATGCCTGCTTGAGACCACAAACAGCTCCAAGGGTGGTGTGCTTTTAAAGAAACAGGACCACCCCCCTCTTTTAAAAAAGCCAATTATAGGGCCGGAGAGATGGCTCAGTGGAATAAGCTCTTCCCTGGCAAGTGCAAGGACCTGAGTTCACTCCCCGGTTCCACAAAAAAAAAAAAAAAAAAAAAAAAAAAAAAAAAGAAGCCAATTATGTTGGCACACACCTGTAACCCCAGCATATGGGATGCTGAGGCAGGAGGATCACTGTGAGTTCAAGGTCAGCCCTGAACTGCATATCAAAGCCCTCTGTCAAAAAGACAAAAAAATTTTAAAAAGAAACCAACTCCACAGCAGTCCACCATCTTCAGCTTCTAGACGCTGAAAGCAGTGGAATGTTGGGGAATTCAATTTCTTGCCCAAATAGCCACAGAGTGCATTCACATGCAGAGGCCCAGGCCCTGCTGAGTTAGGTAGATCGCCGAGACTGGTGCCCAGGAGGTGGAATGTCTTCGGGGTCTCCAGGGGCCCTTACAGAAACTGAGGTTGAGCACTGAATTGTGTGCAGACCAGAGAAGAGTGTCACCTAGCATGGTTTTTAAAAGCTCCCAGTGTCTGGGCCCCAGACCATACCAGTTCAATTCAAGTCTTACTGAGGCTTTGGAAGCTGCAGGCAGATGTGATGTGCATGTGAGGGCTGAGACCCCCAAGGTGGTTCTTCCTGGGATTCCCACCCATCACGTGCTCTGGGTTGGGATGTAAGAATTGGCATTTCTAACAAGTTCCAGGTGCTTCTGTTGGGGGTCCTGGTGGCCAGCTGAAGAGGATGCTCCATCCACAAGCCTGACCACAGGCCACTTCTGGGACTCAAGGGCGTGGGGAGAGAGGTACCACCAGATATGGTGGTGCACCCCTGAAATTCCAGTACTCTGGGAAGTTGAGGCAGGAGGATCACCAAGTTCAAGCCCAGCCTGGGCAACTTAGTGATTTAGGAAAACTCAATCTCAAAAGAAAAACTTTTTTTTTTTTTGACGGAACCAGGGATTGAACTCAGGCCCTTGTGCTTGCCAGGTAAGTGCTTATTCTACTGAGCCATCTCCCCAGTCCCACTTTTTTTTTTTTTTTTTTTTTTTGTATTTTTGGGGAAGGATCTACAGGGTTTTCAGCATCTCACTACTAGATCAGACTTGTAGTGATCCGCCTGTTTACAGCTGCCCAAAAGCTGGGATTACAGGCATGTGCCACCATGCCCACTCTCAATTGCCATCTCAACACACCTTGGGGGGCGGGGCTGGCACGGCAGACCCAGGGATCGAACCCCCAGTTCCTGCACCTTTTTGCAGATGCTTTAGTCCACTGAGCTATTTGGCCAGCCCTAAGATAAATTTTCAAAAAAAAAAAAAAAAAAAAAAAGCACGTACACCGCCCCCTCTGATCCTGAGGTGGGAAGGCAGTGAGGAGAAGGGAGTCTTCAACTTACACTGCCCCTCACCAACGAGCCACAGGTGGGTTCAGGTGGGGGGTGCAGCTGCCCTTGGGGGGTCTGTGGAACTCACCTCCCAGTAAACTTCATCCTCAAAGCAGTTCTCATCAGCTGCTTGTCCCCAGAAAGGCAGTCTCAAAATGACTCCTGAAGAGTGGAAACCCGAGGTGGTCAGGAGATACTTGCTCTCCATTCACTCCAGCTCTTCCCCTCAGCTGGGACCCACCAACCTCCCTCCAGACAGATCAGGGCGCCCCTCACTTACCCACCATGAGGCCGCCCACCAGGGCCATGGCCAGGCTTAGGAGGAGGCCGAACACCTGGAACTTGCCCTGAATTCTTGAGGTCTGGACTTCCTTTGGATACCTGGGGTGGAGAAGGAGCAGGGCCCCACACAGAGGACAAGTCACCCCGAACTGCCACCTCACAAATGTTCGTGGGCACATCAGCTTGGGGAACCCCAGGGTCTAGCCTTTCCAGCTGTGGAATGGGGGTGCTGGACAGATGGGTATTGTCTATGATTTGCAGAGGAAATGAGGTTGGGAGAGAAAAGTAGGGGAGAAGGACAGTGTGGGACCCCAGCAGGCCAGAAAGGAGGAGGTGTAGAGGAGGAAAGAGGGTCCCCCACCTCGCTGCACCTCCAGTGAATTTACCCTTGCTGTCCATATATATCAGGGCTGGCAAAAGTGGCTGTCACAGCACCCACGATGCCCCCCAGGATGCCAGGAATGCCGTGCAGGTTGTGAATGCCACACGTGTCCTGGATACGCAGCCGGGACTCCAGGAATGGCTGAGGGGGAGAGGTTGCTTAGGCTGGGGCTGCAGCAGGAACCCAGGACCTCCATCCCTCAGCATCTCCCTGGGTCACCACAATTCTTCTAGTCCTGCCTCAGCAGCCCCAGCCCATCCCCTTACCGTCAGGAACATGAAGCCCAGAGTGGAGATTAAGCCGCAGAAGAAGCCCACGATGAGGGCACCGTAGGGCGTGAGCATCATTTCAGCTGCGGTGCCCACGCCCACCCCTCCAGCCAGCGTGGCATTCTGGATGTGCACCTGGGCATGGGCAGAGTGGGCATACTCAGTTCTCTTCCAAAAGCAACTGCCTGTGCCCACACACAGAATGAGGGTGGCGCAACCCTGCTTGGGGCCCAGGGGTGGCTCAGAGTCTGTGCACAGAGCTCTGGGGGTACAGTCAGTCCCCTTTCTGTGTGCCATGGGTATCTATGTGCCCTGACTTGCGCATCCGGATGCACACGGTTCACACTGGGCACTGGCAGAGCCTGAGCTCCTGCCCCTTCTGCTTTGCTTGTGGCTATGGCTGTACAGCCTGCTCCCTCCAGTGCCCCAGTGCCATCTCTGTGTCCAGCGGCACAAACAGCTGTCCCAAGAATGTGATGCAAGGATACAATGCAACTTTATGAGCCCAATATCATCAGTGGCTAGCCCGAGGGTCAGGAACATGGTAGAGGGGAAACAGCCCCAGAAACCCCATGGGGTAGAGGGGAAGAGGAGGAGCAGGAGGAATAGGAGGAGGCAGCAGAACAGCCAGTCCATCCTGAGGATCTGGTCTGGGTTCTGCCACAATCTAGCTATGTGTTCTACATGAGTCATTGCTCCCTGGGCCTCAGTTTCCTCATCTGTGAGATGGGTATGCTACTCAGATGCTGCTGCCCCACAGAGACTCTGACAGGCTGCAGTAATCAAGGGCTCACCTGGCACAGGTGGCAGAGGGGCACCTGCTACTCACCATGTCCAGCTTGCCCTTCTTGTGCAGGGCACTAGACAGAGCCACCGAGGTCAGCACGCTGGCCGCCAAAGAGCAGTAGGTGTTAATGGCAGCTCGGTGCTGGGCATCCCCATGGGAGGACACAGCTGAGTTGAAGCTGGGCCAGTATAGCCACAGGAAGAGGGTCCCTGGGTCACACATACAGGACAGCGATCAGAGAGGAAGCATTTGCTGGCCTCTCCTGGGCCCTCCTGACAGGCACCTCTGCCTTCCCACTTTAGGAAGTCTGCCTGACCCCATGACAGAGTAAGCACCCTTCCTGGGCCCCTACAGCACCATGCCAAGAACCCTTTCCCCACTGCAGGGAGTGCTAAGGGCGCAGCTCCTCCCGTGCTCTGTCCGGGAGACAGCAGTGAGCATGTGGGCAGCGGCACCTCTGCCATGAACAGACCTGGGCAGTGGGAGTGCATGCCGGCCCCAGCCAGCTACGAACCAGGGCCTGGCTACTCCCTTGTCTGCCTCGGGGAATGCTAGGGAAAAAAGCACAGGAGACCAGCTTCCTTCAACCCCAAAGGAAAGAGGCAGACATCTGGGATTCTAGAATTGTCTACAGACAAACTGCCCCTGCCCTGCCCAACAAGGAGCCGGCAGCTGCCCACTAACTGTGGGGGGATCAGACATGGGGACCATGGCAACCTTCCCTCACCCCCGTGGTCTCCATCCATCACGGCAGGCCCCTTTCACCATGGTAACCCAGCCATCATGGTGACCCTTATGGCCCTCACACACTGTGGCAGCCCTACCCATGATGGCCCCGATCTATCACAGTGGCCTCCACCCATGATGGCAGTCCCCACCACCAAGGCAGCCCCAAGCATTGTGGTGGCCCTCACCAATCATGGCGAAGAGGTCCGACTGGTACACAGAACGCTGCCTCTGCTTGCTCTGCTCCAGATTGCGACGGTAAAGGATCCAGGTTACCGTGAGCCCAAAGTAGGCGCCAAATGTGTGGATGGTCATGGAGCCCCCCGCATCCTTCACCTGCAGGGCAAAGAGCTGTGGGGGTCTGGCGCCTTCGCTGCCTTCCCCATCTCCCACACAGCACACAGATGTGCTGGGATGCAGGGTGAGTGGAGCTTAGCTGACCGGGAGGGTCGGGTGGGGGCCCCTGAAGCCAGGTTGTGAGTTGTTGGCAACATGAGGCCCGGGCAGCAGTTGGGATGTTCCCAGCTGAGCCATCCAGGCTTGGAGAGTACCAGCTCAGCCACAGGCTGGCAGAATTAGAACCTAGGGCAGCCCTATCTCATGTCACCCGCTCCCTTCCTTGATTTCTGAGACTGCTCCCCTTCCTTTCACTCACCTATCCCAAGGCTGCCCTGCCCAGACTGCCCCTGTCCACTGTGCTAAATCCCCTGTTAAATCCTCTAGGTCTTATTCTATGTAAAATTAAAAAGTTGCGCTGGGTTTTAACCAGGGGGATGAGCCACACTAGCTGCTGGTGGAGACTGGCCTGATGTGCGAGGGATCAGAGCCAGGGGACAAGTCGGGGAGAAGAGATACGGTGTCTGGGGCTCAGCTGGTGGCTGAAAAGGTGACAAAATAGGTAACTGAATAGAGGGTGGTCTAACTCCCTCTATTAGGGGACACTACCCCAGGCACAGCTCCAATGTAGAAGAAGAAAGGGGGTCTCTCAGTGGCACCTTGCCCTCCTCTCCTTTCTAAGGAGCCTCTTATGTAGGCCTCAGAATTAGACAGCCTTTGTGAAGGGTGTCTCGGGTTGTGTACCGCACAACTCCTCTCGGATCCTTCCTTACTGATTTGCCCCCTAGATATACTGGGTCCTTTGCTTAGCAGACCAATCTTGGGATATGGTGTGCATGCAAGCGTATATGCAAGAATGTCACCCCCCTTCCATGGGATGTGTG